CAGATACATCGGTCTAAAAACTCTTCCCTAGACCTCCTCTGTGCAAACTGGCAGTGTTTTGATGCCTTAAGACTTTGAGCTGGGCAAAACTGAGAACTTCCTGTCAGCAGAAAAAGTCCAGCTTTTGAATCAGGGTTAATATTGCAGGAGAAGCAGCAGCGTTATTAATGAAACCTGAAAACTATTGTAAAGTGAGAACTGGCTGTTCTCGAGGTACGCAAAAGGCTTTATTCTTATCCAGACTCCAAATCTCACGTGATAAACGATGGCAGAATATAAATGTTAAAATGTTCATAAAACGTTCAAATAAAGTGCTTTGGTCTTATCAATGTGAAACACTGCTATAATTTCCCATCAAAAAGTTGTCAGAACTGCTACACCCTTACAAAATATTTTAATTCATTAACATCAACATTTTTTCCACGGGAAAAAGCGTGCTGATGGAAAACCTGGATCTACTCCCCGTGCAAGTGAGGCCGTGCAGAGTTTTAGGAGCTCAAAATAACCCACCTTGTGTCTGCCCGCTCTCCCTGAAGTACACACACCTTAGGGCGATCTTTTCAGAGGGAAGATCTTCAAGATATGGCAAGCTCACACCAGACCTGCCCGTGGATTCCCTTCCCACAGCCTGCTCAGCCAAGACGTACGCTGAAAGCCTTCTCTGCACGCTTCATTATTTCCCCAGAGTAAAAAGGATTTCTTCCTGTCTGCTCTACACACAACACCGAGATGTTTTCAGGAAAAAAAAAAAAAACCTTGAGAAGAATCTCAGAAGAAGCTCAGAAGCCGTTGCCCCTTTGGGTAGGAAGCACGCCACGAAAGGTGCCTTGCATTCATGCAAACTGGAGATAACAATGAACAAAGACTCTTCCAACACCCTGGGATTTCGCAGGGTCAGGGCAGCCACTGCTTACACTCAGCTGCCTCGCCAGCACGCTTCCAAATCAGCTCTGCTATAATACACCCCCAAAAAAATACACAGGTGCTGTACAACCCTTCCAGCTAACCGTCTGCTTGTCACTAAATGCCACTGCGGAGACAAGACGCTCAACAAATTCAGCACAGACACAAGCAGCTCAGCATCCATCCAAGTTCTTGCCACCAGCACCTTTCAACCTTCCCTAACAGTGGAAATAAGAGCAGAGCTCAGACACCCAACTGATCGGCTGCATCTCTGCGGACCAGGCTAGAAGGCAGAAAGCCCACGTTTGTACGGTCTTACTATGGTCCTAAGTGCTGTAAGAACCAAGTTTTAAAGCTTGATGGACTTTATAAAGGCCAAGCACGAGCTGGTCGGCAGGAGAGACAACACGAGTCAAACTCAAACAAGGCAACCAAAGAGTGAAAGGCTCTCCTGTGCATCCTCAGGCTCCTGCTCTCTTTCCTTCCCATCTCCAACAAACTGCCAAGACCACCACAAAATACTGAAAAACCACCACCACAAGACTCTTAATCGCACCGACTGTGGTTTGCAAAGGTTTAGTTTGAACACTTGGTTCTGCAGTTTCCTTTTGCCCGTATTCTCTATTAGCACTGCTATTATGCAGGTGTAGCACCAGAGCATGTCAATCCCCCTGCCCTACCAAGCTATGCCTGGTATAAAACCAAAATGAGAAGGTGGCCTCAGAAAGCTTGTCTGTGTTCCTTAATCTAAGAGGTTTTAATCTTTCATGACGGTCAAACAGCAATTGTGCTGAACCAGTGCAAGAGGCTGCCCCTGTCTAGTCAAAATAGGGAAATTGGACCCTGAGAAAGAGGCAAATTTGAACTCCAGCTTTTGAGCCGAACAGCTCCATCACTGTTTAAGGACATCTGTCTGCAAAAACGATTCAAAACACAGCACTTTTAGCCCCTAACTTCATTGAAATCAAGGAAAACTGCTTTGTTTTCCCACCACATGAGCAACTCTCGGGGCCTAACTGGGGAAACTCTGTCCTTGGCAAATCCAAATTGTCTGCCTGAGCATCACCAGTCACCCCCTACAAGCCTTTCCTGGTCATTTTTCATTGCAAAGAAGCTGTGCCCATAGCAGGGTTACAAATATTTCAAACTGCCGGGGCCAAAGACTCCAGAAGGAAGATTTATAGCAATAAATAATATTAATGACACAGGCGGACAGAGCTTCTTGTCCTGAGAGCTCCAAAGGCACATGAAAAACTGCACTATAAATGTCACCACCACAGACACCAACGATGATGAGATGCCACCTCTGGGGAAGGGAGGCAGTGTGGGCTTGCTCAGAATGATACTCGGTCAGGAAACCGAGGGTGGTACCATGAGGACCTGGATGAACAACGCTCCACAGCATCAACAAACCCTGGGTTTTGCTGAGTGGAGGGGGGCTCAGGAGATAACCTGTCCCCAGTTTCCCTCCCCGTATGGCCAAAGGACTCATCCTGATGCTGGAGTCAACTTCAGGCTGGGCAAATAAAATAAAAAAGAGTTGTGAAAACGTAACCCAACCAGCAGCCAGCAGAGTTGGAAAGCGGGAGAAGGAAGCAATTTTAGGCCTAAACCCCAAAGGAGCAGCTGAGAGGTTAGTTGCAGATATAATAAAACATGCCTGGGGGAAGGAAGCTGCATCCTCCTGCAGCCAAGCCCACTTTCAGATGCAAAAATACTTGCACTGATGATAAAGGGCTTACACCAACCCTGTGTTATCCAGATAACACTCCAAACACCAAGAGCTGAGGGGGTAGCAATATCTGGCTTTGTCAAATTAACCATTTTTTTTCCTAACTGCTTAGTTAAACAATGCCAAGCACTGCATGAACATAAAGACTTCGCCCTCCGTCAGAGAAACTTCTGCTTGAGCCAAGTCAAAGACTCCTTTCTCTCTCTTCCCACACTGCCTGGTCCTCTGCCCGCTTCCAGAAAAACGAGCAGCAGAGGACCTTGACTCTCTCTTCCCACACTGCCTGGTCCTCTGCCCGCTTCCAGAAAAACGAGCAGCAGAGGACCTTCACCAGCAGCTCAGCTACACACCTGGGCTGGCTTCATTTCAGGCTTCACCTTAAAGGTATTCCTGAGGCAGAAATCACAATTTATTCTCTCCGACCACGCAACCTCCCTAAACTTTGTTAGGACTGGGTCACTTGCAACAACAGCATGGACAATGCTGGACAAGGCTTATCCATCCATCATGCTGGTGGTCATCACAACCTCTGGAGCTGCACATTTAAGCTTGGGCTGAAGGGTGAAGCGTTTTTTTCTGGCAGAACACAGCCCTGCAGGCTCACAGGGCAGGTACAGAGAGGCAGGGAACAGAACTGCAGGAGGTGGCTCACCTAAGATCAGCCTGGCCACCTAAAGGCTGGGTACCACTCCTGGAGACCACTAGCCCAGCGGGCTACCTCCCTGCCTACTTAGTTTCAATCAGATCTCAGCCTGCCAGGTGGGAAGACAGGGAAACAACAACCCATGGAAGAAGACTGATACAGGGACACCAGCATCAATGCAACCAGCTCCTTCCAGGCCCCTTCCAAGCAGGAACCCAGTCCTGGTCCTACTTTCAAGCATCCTTCAACCAGCGCATCTCTACCGAGAGCAGAAGCTTGGTGCCTCTCTCAAGAGGACCCCAAGAACGTCTCTACCTGATGCCCCAAAGCTCATTTCACAACCCTGTAGTGGCTGGGCCTGCACAGGGCCCGGGCAAACACAACCAACACTGTGTCTTTAAAACCACTTCAGTGCAGATGTTGTTTCCATGGTAACTAGTGGACCAAATACATTAGTGTTTCTAATAATAAACCAAACCTTCATCTTGGAAAATGTGATCCCCCCCCTCCCTTTACCACCATCACCCTTCCTTTCTTCCTCTCCCCTCCCCTTTCACTGAATTAAGCCAGCATTTAACAAGCAAGGCATAATTAGTAAATAATTGCAAGGGCCCAGTAACTCCCAGTGCCCAGGCAGATGGAGAAGAGCTAGGTGGAGGGGAGGGGAGCTTTGCTCTATGAACCTGGGAACTGTCCAAAAAGGGATGAACTACTTAAAAAAAAAAAAAAAAAGAAGAAAAAAAAAATTAAAAAGGACAAGGTGGAAGAGAGGAGCTTGTGAAGCCCCTTTTGACCCCCCTGGGGTCGCCTTTGGTGCCCCCATCTCTGACTCAGGGTGCACCCGCCCGGTGATAATTTCTAGGAATCTTTTTTTTTTTTTTTTTTTTTTTCTTTTTCTTTTTACGGAGGCTCCGTCCGAGACGCGGCACCGGCTTCGTGTCACCGACAGCGGCCAAAACTTCCCAACTCTTCCCCTCCCCGGCCCCTTTATTCCGGAGTGGGGACACCCCTTCACCCCTAAAAAAAAAGCGTGGGGTGATGAGAAGGACCCCAAAGCAGGGCTGGGGGGTGGAGGGGGGTGGGAAAGACACACGGTGGAGCTGCGGAGGGGAGGGAGGCGATGAGGGGCGATTCCTCCCCCTCAAAATAAAGCACGTGTGAAGATTTCATGCGTGGGGAGCCCCCGGGAAGTGAACACGCCCGGCGGGGGTTGGTCCCCCCCCACATTTAACGCTATTTCTGTTTAAAACACAGGACGCAGGGATGGAGGGATGGGAGGAAAAGGGGGAAAGCAGTGCAGCAGCAGCCCCCAATGTGTGTGGTGTGATGTGGTGTGTGGTGTGGTGTCCCCCCCCTACACACACACTCCCTGCAAAACTGCGGTCAGGGGCGAGGGGAAGGGGAGAGGAAGGGCGGCGAGGAAGGTGATGCAAAGCCTCCACGGTCCCGAGGGTTTTGGGAGGGGGGGGCGGGATGGGTGGAGGGGGTGGAGGGGACAGACCCCTCCACCCCCTTCACCCAGGTACGCGGTACCCAAAAGCCGAGGATGCTCCGCTGCATCCCGGGCGGCCGAGGATGCTCCGCTCCATCCCGGGGTCGCGTCTCTTTCCCTTCCCTCTTCATTTTCTCTTCTCCCCCCCTCCTCACCGCGTGTGTGTGTGTGTGTGTGTGTGTGTATATCCCTTCCTTCTCCCCTCTGCTCCTCCCTCCGCGGCGACTCACCATGTCGGGACTGAGCTGGGCTAAGATGGCGAAGGCGGAGAGCCGGTCACACAAGCACTTGGTCCGGGAGGCGTCGAGAGGGACCGTTCGGCAACCGCGCCAGGACCAGGCGCCGGGCGGAGAGGAGGAGGC